CAATGAAATAGTTCTTGCCAGAGGTGGTTCCAGACAGTTGCATCTCCTTTGTAATACATCTTAAAAAGCAATAACCATGAGATTTTTTTTTTTTTTTCTCTCACAAAAAATACTCCAGGACCCTCTTCAGCATTGTGTGTTTTTCAGTTAAGGCTGTAGGAAGCTTGTGTTGCCGTTACCCTGCAGTGTGTTAATTGATGGTTTAAATGCTTTACAGCTGTTGACTTCTTCAACCAGATCAATATGCTTTACGGAACCATTACGGACTTCTGCACAGAGGAGAGCTGCCCCGTGATGTCTGCTGGCCCAAAGTAAGGTTATTTTTCACACATTCTTGAGAGTGTGCATTTTTTGAGATTATTTTCAATTTGAGAGCTTGAGACTAGCGCATTTGAGTGCCAAAGATAAGGGAGATTCTGTGGGTGGGAAGGATGTCTTCTAGTGTTACCTGGTGGGGAAAAAAAAATTGAAAGTTTGTTAAGGGAGTGGGGAAGTGAAAGGTGGTTTTTTTTTGGGGGGGTTGTTTTTATGTATTATTGTTTTATTTAACCTGGGAAGTAAATTGACTATCAAAACTTTTTTTCCTTTTTTTTTTTTAATGTTAATGGGGGCTTCTTCAATTAAGATTTTAAGTATTTATATGCAAATGTTCAATTAGGGCTTACCAAAATATTTCTTTTAGGCATTTGTGTAGGTATTACAGAAACAAACTTGGCTACGGTTTTGAGTAGTCTGTATAAGAATCCCCTACCCTGTCCCTCAGTTGAGTTTCACTTCTTTCATTCTTGGTCATGCTTTTGCACAGACATCTCCCGTTTGTGTTTTTGCTTGCTCTCCAGCTCATTAGTGTGTTCTGAAGAGGAAAATACCTGCATTTCTAAGCCAGTGGCGAGGGAGGGCACTGCTTCCTTTTAAATTACTGAAAACTCTTAAGTAAACAATAAAGAAAACCAGTCGTCTCTTCCAGTTCCTCCTCTTTTATCGTGACATTTGTTGGTGGTGTGTGAAGCCGGTCATTGCCAGCTGGTGTGGTGGAGAGCTGAGGACGTGCAAAAGGGTGCAGCTGGGCGGGCAAGGCGAGAGCAGCCAGGCGGACCAAGAAAAGCTTTGGCGCTACGTTCTTCAACTAAAAATGGACACTGCTGAATGCCAAAACCAGTGTGGGCAGGCAGACCTGCTGCTGCAAAGCGGGGAGGGGTGAAAATACAAAAGGAATAGAAGTTGACCATTATGCAAAAGAACTTTGGGATCATCTTGTGCAATAACATGGCCCATTGTCTGCTTTGTGCTTCGGCATGCAGAACAGACTCTTACTTACTTAATAAGAGCATGAAAATATTTCTTTGCTGTATTGTTTGTCTGCTGAGTAGCAGTTATTTGGGGGTGGAGGTTAATTATTAAAGGCTTATCTGTCTGGTTGCCAGAGTAAACAGTTTATTTATCTCCGAAGAGACCAATAACCATTGACAGAAATATATGTTGTGCTCAAATAGTTATGAGGTGGGGTAGAAAAGAAATGCTAGAGTCTAGAAGATGCATTCTGCCAAGGTCTAAATTAGGTGGGCTTGTCCGTAGGGTCGGTAGGGTGTTCCCCAAACTGCAGCCCCCACGTGTGCTCAAGGATGGGTTTTGTGGAAGGAGCAGAAGCATGTGTGCATGTCCGGGCAGGGACGGGTGATTTGTCAGGCTGGCAGTGCCTGGCAGCAGAGCATATACAGTGGGTTTAGTTTCAGCGAGCGTGGCTTGCTTTCTCTTAAAAGGTGGTCTGCAAAATCAGGGAGGTACTGCTGGAAGACCTGTCAGCATCAAAGCACTGATACTTTCAGATTTTTTTTTTTTCTTTTTTTCTCAGTTTCCTGTTCTCTTCTGGCTCCAGCTATATTAATTGAAGAAGCATTGAGTCTTAGGTGCTCATTAGTGCTTCTGGGCTGAAGGTTGCTGTCTGATGACGTCCGTGGCTGAGCTGCCACCGGTATTGCATCCTCACCCGTTTCAGACAAAAGAGTGCGAGTTAGCTGAAAGAACTGGCATAAGGTCGTTTGAAACAGTTTAGGCAGCCCTGACATGAGGAGCTGGAGAGAACCAGAAAGCAGCAAGCGCTCTATGGCTATCAAGTCTGATTTTTGCGTTCCCGCTGGAAAAATGTTTATGGTCCGTACGTTAAAAAGGGGTTGTAAGGTGCTGGTGCACACATAAGTAGCTGTTTGGAACTTGTTGTGGCTCAGTCACAATTTTCTTAGCACAACTGTTAAACTTGTAGCTATCTATGGAAGAATTCAACCAGACATCTGAGGTGAGAGGCTAACTAGAGCAGAAGTGTGATCTTTTCTGTATCCACTGTCTGGTACTGGTGTTTTGTCTTGAAACCCCTTTACAGAAGAAAAGAAAAAAAAAAAACCAAAAAAAAAGAAAAGAAAAGACCAGACCCTTGGCAACCGACAGGTCACCTAGGTTCACCGCTGGGGGTTTTGTGTTTTATTTTTTATGAGAGGGAAGGTTATTTTCTCTAAAGGGCTACATTCAGACAAATGCTTGGGGCTGTGTGGCTATTTCTACAGCCCACTGGTTCTTTTGGTAGCCATCTTAAAAGGGTTTAGCTGAGGCAGGTATATTTTGGTGTGCTGTGGGATTGCTTTCATTTGTTTTGGACTTGTCTTTGTTGGAAGGATGTCTGACTTTGCTTGTATCTGGGTGTTAGTACACTGAGTTAGTTAAGGATTGACGTAAAGCTGTAGAAGAGATGTCTCTCTCCTGCTCACAGCTCACTGTTTAACAATGTGAAAAAAGTATCGGTTTAACTTGTTCCAAAACATATGATTACTCACGGTAACGTTCCGTTCTTTTCACTTCAGCAATGACCAACAAACAAACTCTAGTTGGTGATCGCTTGCTATTCTTGTATCAGTTGCAGCATCACCATCAGTGCAACAGGTACAATTACAAGTTAAGAACCTGCATGGAAGTAATATGTTTATTAACCATCGTTGGGTGAGGGAGATTTTTCTTTATTTTCCTTCCTGGTTGTAAGTCTTTAAGAAGAACACAAAGGAGGGACGCGGCTGCTGTGTTTTTCAAAGCTGGATGTCTGAACTGGAGCTCTAAAAATCCATATTTAGGCTTTTGTGTGAATACACTACGCTCGCTCTTGATGGCGGTGAGATCCTTCTGATTTTCCTGAGGTTTGTTGGTCTGCGGTGCCAACACGCGTTCAAATTGGAATAGCTGGGCGCTCCGAAGTGGACGCCTCCCATAAATCCCACATGGGCGTAATACTGTGTAGCTGAATATTCGCATGCTGCCTTCTGCAGAAAATGAAATGATAAAAAAAATCATGTAATCAGGACCTTGAAATACCCTGTGTTTCTTAGCAATATTGATCCTTTTGCCTTTTTGTTATGCTCCGCTCTGTGCCTCTGTCACTTGATTACAAAACAGAGTATGTATTTTTTGGCAGTCTTGATGGAATATAGTTTTGCTGAGATTTTGAGATGATAGGTCCAAATAAATGTCCGAGAATCTTCCAAAAGGTGTTACTGAGCCACTGCCTTTTATTGCTGTTGGAGAGGGTAACAGCTTAATTTTGGTCAACCTGGTGGTTTGTTATGTTGTGATGTTTTGTTTTGTTTTGTTTTTCTTGTAGGCCATGTGCATGTAATTGCACTGTAGAGGAGCTTGTGCTATGATAGTTCTTACTTGGGATATTTTATCGTGTGAGAAGCATAGTTGGATTTAGAAACCTCTACTAAACTGTAGAGATTTCTAAAAATGGATTTTCTGTAGAGGAACTACCTATCATGATAAGGTTAATTTCTTTCTGTCACCAGAGCTGTAGGTGTTTGCTCGCCAGCTTGAGCTAGAAATGTGATTTTTACCCTTCATTTCCTGTAGCTGTTCAAATGATTCTGATATGTGGGAAGTTTTTGTGTGTGTGTTTTGTTTTATTTTTGTTTTTCCCCTCCCTTGTGACCCCAAGCCTTCTGACAGCTTAGGAATGACCGTGAACGTTAGGCCAACTGCGTGGAGCATGGGGTATTTGCTGGAATACTTTCAGATTCTCTATATGACTGTTTTTGTCAGGACATATCTGGTGTTTCTTAAGAGCTGTGTTACTTAAAGCGTCATTCTGTGGCATTCCTTTAAAAAATGTAGAATTAACCCATAGGACTGGCAGGAGGGGAGGGAGGCAGGGAGGCATCTCACGGATATTTGTTTTTTGGATGAGATTTTAACATATGATTTAGTTTGTTGTTTTACTTTGTCTCCATACCGAAACTGGCACATCAGTGTTGATATTTGTCCTAAGTTAATAGCACTTATTCTCAGTATTAAGGTAATACTGGGTGGTGAGGAGTACTAATTTTTCTGAAATCCAGACATGTTTTGGCCCGTTCAGCATGTATGGGATTTTTGCATGGGTTTTGCGATACAATTTTAAAATGCTTTCAGACTCTCCGATTTGTTGCCGTTATAAAAATTGCATCTTTTTATCCCATTGTGAGCAGCATGCTCACAGTCCCTTGTAAAATTTGTTTATTGTGAAAATGTTAACTGTTCTGACAAAACTGAATTTGTTAAACAAAATCAGAAGTCAGATTTATCAGATACAGTTAAGCTTTGCATAAAACGGTGTTTGTGATTTTTTAAAATAGAAGCCTTTCTCCAGTGTCCGCACAATTGGACATAGCAAGGGAAGGTTTAAACAGTGGTGGTTGCAGCCCAGATGTGGTACGCTGCTGCGGTACGAAGAAATAACAATCAAATTGCGCACTCCATCCTCCATGAAAAGAAGAAATACTAACCATTAATAACAGCTCTTGTAATTCTTTTAAAAAGAACTGAGATAAAACTTGTAGATGAAGTGGGTGTGTTTCCTGTAAAAGCATGACTGAGCTGACATCACTATCCTTGTATATTTTCTTTGTTTATTTTTCAATTTCTGTGTTTTTAAAAGAGGAGTGTTGCAGCTAGTGTCAATCATTATCCATTTGTTTCTCGGGGAAGATTTCGGAGCCGCAGAGCTCAGCAGTCCGTTTCGCTTCTGGCTGGGCAGCAGGCTCGCCCCACGGGCAGCGGTTGGGGGGCTGAGCAAGGCTGCCCCATTTAAAACCGAGGTGGGAGACGATGCTCTGCTCCCATCTAAAAGAGAGGGCTCTGCGCTGGTGAGCAGAAACTGCTCAGATGTTATGGATTGGCGAAGAATATTAAGATAGATGCGTTTGTACTCAGCAAGGCATAGAAGGAAACACTGTGGTTCACCTGAAAGCTGGTGTTGTCAGACTCCCAATGTTAAATGTGTTTGATTTTTTTTTTTTTTTTTTGTTTTTTAGTCTTTATTTTCTCCAGATGAGCTGTCTTCTCCTGGGTCTGGACTTGCCAGTTGTGTTCCCCAATCCAGTCAGAGTACTTATTCCATTCTATCTCATGAGGACTTGTTTCTGTCTGGTTGCGCATATAAACGGATGCTGTTTAATACATTTTTCCATGTGTTCTTAAATTCCTGAAGTTAAAACGATAGCTGTAAAATGAATGACGCTGGAATCTACTCATTAAATATACTACATAAAAGATGTCACCGTTACTAGCTCTTTGTACGGGAAAGGATGAAACGAGCACACGTTTTACTGTTCCATAGTCATGTCAGTGGTTTGGAAAGGTGTGATACTCTCTTATCTACAGACGGAAGAATTAAGCAGTTGCTGGCCTGCAGCTGTCACGTGGGTCGGTGGTATTACTGGAAACTGAGATTTTTTTGGATCTTGGTGGACTACATGGTAGCACTAGACCTTCAGATATGAACCTTTTCTAAGGAGGGCTGCTTAGTCTAGAAGCTTTTTTTCTGTTAGCTGAAAAGCACTTTATACCAGCTTCCAGTTCTGTAATGGTACTCCTTGGCGTTTGCCTGCCTCTGAGTCTATTCTGTGTCTCTAATACGATCATAATTTGTGATCTCTGGCAAGAGCGTTTGGTATTCAGTTATGCAAAATCTATAAGAATATTTTCAAATGTAAAGAAATTCGATAAATGTCAGGGGTCTATGTATCTGGCTGGCAGCTGCTACAGATGTTGAGCATTGCCATTTGCTTTGAAGTTCTTCAGTTAGTCAGGTGCCTTCACCAATTTGAGCCCTGGAGCTAAGCTTCTATTTGTGTGAGAATCTTTTTGATGTTTCATTTCAACTGTCTGTAATGTTGTTCTTTTGGAGGGGGGGGCAAAAAAAGCTTTAAAAAAGAACAAGTAGCTATTGGACTTTGAAGGTTTGGAAACGTACTCGTGCAGCACAGGTACAGGGATGGAGGTTTGACCACAGGCTGCCGCGTACGTTTTGGCAACTGAGGGTGAATGAGCTGTGCTATAATGGACGAAGTTTTTGAACTGCTAAAGCAGGATGGCGGTGGGGAGCCGGGGTACAGAGCAGCTGCAGATGACCTGGGAGCGTTTGGACCTCGGTCTTGAGGAAGGGATGTGGGAGGGTGTGGGAGTACTGCGAGCAGAGCAGGAAGAGCAGCTGCCAGACCTTGATATTATTGAATGATTCATTTTGTGTTAAGAAATGTCTTCTTGTTGTCGTCCCAACCCAGATATGAGTACCACTGGGCAGATGGCACAAACATAAAGAAACCAATTAAGTGCTCTGCACCAAAGTACATTGATTACCTGATGACTTGGGTCCAGGATCAGCTGGATGATGAAACGCTATTTCCTTCTAAAATAGGTAAAGTAAATAAGTAAAATTGAACAATGTGTTTGGATTACAGTTGTACAGGAATATTCAAGTCTTACAGCATCAAAAGGTCTTCTACGTGACTGATTGGAGTAGGGCGAATTTAGAGGGTTACATTATATGTATAAAGGCATTTTTATCTCTTAAGATAAAATGTATGTGTTAGTACATGAACTCTGAGCCATGCCTTAATACTCTTAATAAATGTCTCTCACAATTTTGAATGTAGGAAGTACTCTTTCTATTTAATAACTGACTGTTGATCAAATCTGATGGTTTTTTCATTTTGAACAGTGGGTTGTTTCCTTAGAAATAAGGGTCTCGGAACCTGATGACCAGTAAGTGGTACAAACTGGCAGCTTTTTGATGCAGGAAAGATGCTTTATCCTCTTGAGGAACTTATAGGCCTTACCTCCAAAGAGCTGACTTGCATCTTTGATCTTAAGTTAATGATATTTTTTCTTTTCAAGTGAAGATCAAAGATTTACGTTTTTAAGAGGTTTCTGTCAGAGGCGGAAAATAACAACCACTAGTTTGGAAACGATAGCAAGAAGAAAACCCCGCTTCTAGAGGCATGAAGGACTATTTGTTCTAAAGGTCCTAATTGGCAGTTTTCCAGTACACTGCTACTTAGAGGCTTATGATCCATTGTGAAAAAAGGAAGGGAGATCTCTTAATTGCTTTTATTTTGTGAACAGTTTCTGAAGCATTTGATACGTTTTCAATAAGCCTTTTCGGAGAAACAGGGCCACCTGTCAGAATCAAGTGGCATTTGTTTTTACTTACTGAAGCGGATATGCAGAGAAGGCTGCTTAATTTGGGAAGAAGTGACAAAAAGCTTAGTAGGTGTGAGCATAATATCTTCACATACTACAGCATTTGTTTTAGGGTAGAGTTCAGGTCTGGCGTAGAAGTCCACTACTAATAGGAATGGTGTTAAATAGTTACAGTTAATATTAAAGTTGTGTTCAAAAGACGACATCAGGATTGGATCTTTCTTGAACTGCAGCATATACTTTGCTGAAGAGGTTTGTTTTTTTTCTTTTAATACAATGTAATTTTAAAAAGTAGCGATTCAGAAAGAGACTTAAAGGCCAAAGTGGATAACCAACTAATTATGAACTTCCCACGTGATGCAGCAGCCAAGGAATGAAATGTGATGTACATATGAGCAGGGCAAGCTTAAGTAGGAGTATGAAAATTTTATTGCTAGGGTTTTAAAGCCTTGCTGAGATCATGAGTGGGCTGCAGCATCCAGCTTGGGCCTGTGGCCTTCAAACAGGACTTCAGCTGTTGGGAAGACTGCAGAAGAACTAAGCTGACTGGGAAGACTGCTATGTGATGAGAATCTAGACAGGTTTAATCTCTTTAGATGGTTGATACATATCGTTTTTTTAGCCTGCGGATGTGCCGACTAAAGAGATTATTGCTCCCAGTAGCCGGTTACTGTTCCCTAACCAATGTTAATAAACTTGTGCACTGACAAAGATCTGCTGTTGAAACTGATTTTACTTGTCCTGGGTCATTTTCACTGAAATGACCGAAAGGAGTGTGTTTGACAGCACTTCAGCAGGCAGTTAAAAAAGCAGTGGCCTCTGGCTAAGGGATGGTGATGAGCAGGATGGAAACTGGAGTCTTTTTGCTGAGCACGAGACAGGTGGAAGAGAGCCTATTTCTGGTTTCACTTTACCTGAGAGAAGAGTAAAACGCGATGGCTGACACCAAAGGTGGTTTCAGTTACCTACGCAAAGGTAACTGGTGTCCCTTGGAGTACCCTGTGGGATCTTGGACACGTGCACAGAGCTACTGGTGAGACTTGAAGCCTGCAGAAGACTTGCCCGTTTCTGCATCGGCAATTAGAGGCCAGGCAGGTACCCAGAGGACATCTATAAGTGGATTAGATCCCTGTGTTGGGGTATCTGAATCCTACCAGAAGGGAAGAAGGTTCTCAGTCAGAGAAGGCTATTCAGAGAACTGTACTGAGACATAACAAGACTTAGTAGCTGGAAACTGAAGCTGGGAGAGTCCAGCATGGAAACGTAGTCAGATTTGTCGTGGGAAAAGTTCATGGGCCACCGGTCTACTGAAGGAAGGGAAATCTCCCTTCCAACCTTTTAATGAGCTTGTCGTTGTGCTTCAGCCTAGGTACGCTGCGTGATTTATAGACGGAATTGCTGAGTGAAACAAAACAGCCCTTCTTGTGCAAGAGAGAGGGTTGGGTTATAATGGCTTTCAAAATACACGAACGTGGCGTGGGCATTTAAAAACAAGCCCTCTGTTTTCTTATTTCTAGGTGTACCGTTCCCAAAGAATTTCATGTCAGTGGCAAAGACAATTTTAAAGCGTCTCTTCAGAGTTTATGCTCACATTTATCACCAGCACTTTGATCCAGTGATCCAGCTACAGGAAGAGGCACACCTTAACACTTCTTTCAAGCACTTTATATTTTTTGTTCAGGTAAGTGGCGGGAGCATGGTGGTTACAATTACAAACTGGAAAAAGTAATGCATTAGAGTAATGGACATTCAGTTTCTTAACAGCTGGTTTGTTTGTAAGCGAGTCAACACCTCCAGCACCCTAAGATAGTGTCTGACTCCATTTGTATGTGTGTTTACTGCTAGAAGCATTCAAGGAATGGAAAAGTTTTCAACAAATATTTGCTTGCTACAAAATTGAATACCGAAAAGTGTTCCCTACAAAAGAATTGAACACAACACTAATTCCTAACAAAAGAAAGAGGAAGGACAGCATCTGAAACTAGATTAAAAAGAGCGTGCTTGCTTCAAAGCTGCATTCCCCCCTCCCCTTATAAAAAAAGAGCATCTTTGTGTGTTTTTTTCCTTTAAGTAGGGGGGGAAAAGCTTTAGGCAGTTGAATGCTGCTATACAGCTAACGGCAGACAGACAGAAAATGCTGTAGGCGCTAAGCCTGGACTGGCAGAGCCTACTGCTAAATAAGTTCTCTCTGAATAAGATTTTTCACCTGAGCTGCATATATTAAACTCTGTATGTGTGTTTTTCTCCTCATCCTTGTTACAGGAATTCAACCTTATTGATAGAAGAGAACTTGCACCACTTCAAGAACTGATTGAAAAACTCACCTCTAAGGACAGATAAAAGGAAGAGGCTTTCTTGAAGTCACTTGTTTCTTTAAGCGAGCGTGTGGTATTTGTTTTTTGTTCATTTGTTTTTTTAAAAAAACAAAACAAAACCCCTGTGCTGTTACTAATGACAGCCAAGATCTACTATCTGTGCTTTTATTAGGGGAAATCTTTTATCTGTTAGTGACACGTGGTAAATAGCTTTTTTTTTTTTTTTTTTTTTTTTGGGTTGTCGTTACCCATTGTGGAATTTTAGCAGGTGCTGAGTGTTTGTAAAGGAAACATGCTTGGTTGGGGGATTGACTCTGCCGGTGGATGGGTTCTTGTGTTGTGTCAGTGGTTGCCCATTCTCATGAAGTCCCTAAAAGACTTGCTTACATTCTCTAAGTGCCTTGGCAGACTCACTTCTGAGGTGCAAAGCACATACAATACTGAACATTGCTGGAAACAGAAAATATGAACTAACACCCAGGACACTTACTGATACTTCTTTTAGAAAAATATATGTATGCTTACACTAAAAAAAGCCATAACCTACTGAAATCAATGATCTCCAGCTTTTAATACAAATATTTGTCTTATTTTTTTAGAGATTAATATAGATTTTTTTTTTCAAAACTAGATCTTTCTTATAAAGAAAAGCGATGGTAAAGTTCTAGTCGCTAAACTGAAACGATGAAGGTGGTGTCAAAATTGCAAAGAACCTGTGCTTCGCAAGTAATAACATGTTTCTTGCATTGTTTTTGGCTTTTCATAGTTGCTTTTATATTTTTAAAAAGGGAAGCATCGACCTGGGTCAGTCACGTTGCTTAAGTTTACTAGTATTTGCCAAATGAATGGTTAGTTTGCACAAATATAGTTAGGGGAAATATTCGATCGAAAAAACACACTGGGGTAATACGAAGAAAAATCTGGCTTGAAAAATAAGTGGTGAAATGATGTTTGTAAGTTATGACTAAAAAGCCTAGCTCCGTGGAGGAGCTCTGGTGGCCAGCGTTTTCTGTGGTAGCAAATGTTTCTTGGAGGGAATATCATTTCATGGACCACTTTGGATCTACGTTAGTGTGATGGGGTTCTGCCCCAGTTTAAAATCACAGCCCGTCTCCAAGGAACTGCAGCGGTTGGGAGAAGTAATAGGAACATACCAGTGAATTTGTAGTGGTTTGTAATTTGTCAAGTGCGTCTTCTGGTTCTGAGAAAACTTGATGATAATGCGGCTTTTCCCCACCCGGCTTAGTCTCTTTGTCTCTCTAGCCTTGTGTTTTCTCAAACCAGAAACGAGAATCTCCTGTGAGAAGTTAGCCTCTGGGGTGATCTGCAGATAATGCGTTGGAGATTCCTGCTTCCGCGGCGTCAGTCAGGCTTCCCATTCCAGAAGCCCGTACGACTAGCTCTGGTGTTCATTTATGGAGCCTCTCAAAGCTGTTGTATGCTGGATTCAAAGAAACCTGTATTAGGTTCTGTAGTGTGCTATCCCGTGATATCACTGCTTGCCAGATACAGCATGCGAAGGGTTTAATGTTGCCGGGCTTTGCTAGATAGTGATTCTGCAACCCCCCCATTTTTTTAGACCTGTGAACACCTTAACTGACTGGTGCACGCTAGGCTGGCCCTCGAACCTCTGAAATGTACAGCTGAAGCCAGGGTTAGCATGCGACGGAAAAGTTGAGCTTACATTTTGTGCACCTTGGCTTGACTGAAAACGCTGAGTAAAGTGGAAAACGCTGGGCAGCAGCCTGTGAAATGTGTAAGTGGCCATTAGTATAGCCAGCTAATAAACATCTAAGCACAGTAATAATGCGCTCGTTTGGGAGACTAGAATCACTACTGAGTTAAAATGACGTATTTCAGAAGCACCTGAAGGTTATTTTAAGAACTCTGTTCTCTTCAGTGGCGTTACAGCTCCTCATCTGCTTCAACTGCTTCCTGGAGAAGCAGTTAAATGTTTTGTTACCTCTTCTGTCTCTCGGAGTGGTCACGCAGTGGTGTTCGTACTGAATTTAGGTTAGGCTACACTAATGTTAGATAGAGAGGCCACTTGCAAAACACCTGCAGTTTAGCATTTGTAATGAAGACAGTCCTTGGTTTCATTCAAAGCATCGTTACAGTTTGAGAAAATGTAGGAAGTATTTGGCTCCTTTGCAGTTCAGTGTTGTTGCCCATTATAATCTGCTCAAAGGACAAGTGAAGTTTTCAGTTATCCTTATATTTTCGGCTTTTTTTCCATCAGAGAGAATTACCAATGTAATGATATTTGTACCAATTTCTTAATGTGTGAGTGTCAAGGGAAAGGACTTCTATATTGTGTTTTACTTAACATTGAGTACAGGGATTGGACTGGAGTTGGCACAGCCCACACTGAGTCAAGCTGATGATGCAAAGAGAGCTCTCCCTCAGATGTTTGAACAAACTTGTAGTTTTAGAAGGATGGACAATGGTCTTATCCCTTTTCAGCCCTAAGGATCTTGACTCTCCTGTGCGCGTACGCACACGTGGGAGGAAGAGAGTGCAGATACTCACTGTCTGTTCCTTCATTAGGGAGTTGGGGGTTGGAAAAATATGCACAAGGCGTAAGAAGATCAGAGGCAAAAGCAAACACAAAGCACGAGCACAATATCCTTTCCTTTGGCGAGGCGCCTGTCGCTGCAGTATTCATCCCGATGCTTTTGTCAGTCCTTCTGTTTGTAGGACGTGGCTGGTCTGGCAAACGTTGGTTTGCCCCCTGCAATTCTCTCGGCCAGTGGAAGAGTCAGTCAGTGCTGTGGCAGCTAAATGCTGCTGTCTGGAGTCGAGGAATGGGCTGGTAAGAAAGACAGAGCTCCTGCAGAATGTCCCATGTGTTGGACTGGGCAAGTACCCTCCAGTTGAACAGCAGGGGAGGCAGCGTCCCTTTTTGTGTGCTGTAGGGTATGTGTGACAAGGTAGCTGGGAATGCTGTACTCATACGGTCTGCGCGCATCATTCGTGATGTCTTTGCAGCTGCAGGATTGTTCGGAACTGAGCGTCCTTCACACCTCATCTGGACATGGCTACGGAAGCCTGGTTTGGGAGCCAGAGGACGGCAGTGCAGCGGTGGAGGGCTCTCTCAGTTCAGGGCTCAGTAACACAGACGACTGTCGTCTCCTCAGAGTTACAGGAGCGGTCAGCATCTACCTGACTATGCAAAAGCAGCTTAACTCCCAAGTTTGAGCTGCACTATTTTGAGCAGGCTTCAGTCATGCAGGGAGCTGAATTTAAGAATGTGATCTTACACGCACACACAGCCTTTTATGCCTGCTTCCATCTGAGGAGTGTTTAATGACTGAAAATTTGCAGCCGCCGAGGCGTGAAGAGCGCTGCGGATGCAGTTTGGTATTAAAAATCCTGTAAACTTTCCAACGAAAACCTCTTCGCTGAGTGGAGTGAGCGCTGCTCCAGAGGCCGCGTGCGGATGTAGGGTGCGCGGGGAACGCGTGCTGGAGAGGAGCCGTTTTACCAGCGCCAGAGCTCCCGTTAGCACGGCGCAGCAAAATATGAGAGCGAGAATGGCAGAAGCCTGTGCCAAGGTGCTAAATAGGAGATATCCTCCGTTAGATTTCAAGCTGTCTCATTGGTTTCATGTCATGTACCAGCAAGAAACCCAGAAGAAAAATATTTAGAAGTGAGGATTTCCTTGGAGCGATAGCAGTGCAGTAGTTCTCTTCTTTGGCATACTTCTGCCTGGGAAGGTTTTTGTTTGTTTGTTTTTTAAATAGCCAATTCTAGAAATTCAGGGGTATCTGCTGCAGTTCAGCCAATTAGAATTAGAATGTATTATGTAAAAGAAAAAGAAATTAGTCTTACGTGGATAGTGTATTCTTTGTATTTAGTATCGGGCAGTAGCAAGCACTTTTTTACAAAATAGTTTCTAGGCATGTAATAAAAGCTTGGAGATCATGATTTGCCTGACAGCTGTATGAACACATTGTTTAATTATACAACACTTGAAAATAACAACATTGAAGATACGTATGCAGTGTTTGGGATTTAGTATCCCTATGCTGTTTATATTTGCAGCTTTTAATTGTTTCTTTTTGCTTCAAAAAGATGTGGGACCAGAAGTTGACGTGCGTTTACACTCTTGAAGTAAGGGCACATTGAAATGCTAAACAAGAGGTTGCTATGTTGTACAAACTGAATCTGGATGGAGTGAATGTGTTTCTAAAATAGTGCATTTGCTGGGGGGAAGGGGGAGGACAACCCCTTTACCATCCCCCCACTCCCCCCCACCCCCAAAAGAAACCCCAGAGCAACAAACCCTGAACAAACCCCGCGCTGCTCTACGCCCACCTTACAGACGGACTCCGCTGTGTGTCACGAGCGCTTTAAGACAAAAACTCTCCGCTTCATTGTCACTGGGAGCGGAAGGTGCCGGGGAGGGTTAAATCAGACTGGGCCACCAGTTCTGGCTGTGGCCTTCCAGTATAAGAGGGTCCTTCAATTCTGTAGTTTGTGGTGTTTTTCAGCTACCAGCGTGTTAGACCGTGGCAGTGATTTGGGCGGTCACTTCAGGAGGTCATCTACCTCGAGACGGGATGGAGCAGACTCTGCCGAGCTCAGGCAGCGGCGCGCGTGCTGGCACCGCTTAGGTGGTGCGGGTGCGTTACCCTCCGCAGAAATCATTTTTTCAAGCCTGTCAAATTCAAGTCAGGGATACAGGTTAATCATGCAAATAGACAATAGCAATGCCACGTTCTGCCATTGCCGGTAGCTGAAGGGACAAAAGAGGTTTCAAGGGGCAGGTGGCCCCTCTGCAAGTGTCGAGTTTCTTTTCCTGCTTACTATGCAATGTAGAGCTTTGAACTTACGCTTTGACTTTAAGATGTAGAGGAGCACTGTCCTGATTCAGTATTTAGGAACTGAACCCTGTCCCCGTCTCCCTGACACTCACCGACCAGGTAAGGATACCTATTTGCTGCTATGGACTTGACTTCCCTTTCCGACTGTTCCTTTCGGTTTCTCGCCTCCCCCGTCCCTTTCTCTCAACTCACCAGACACAATTTTACTACAAACACATCCTTTGTGGATAGTTGGTCTTTTCTTTGCTACCCTCTGCCCCCTTCCTACCTGCCCGCGTGCTGTATTACTGTATATAACCCGCCCCCTTTTAGCTGGACTGTTGGAAAACGCTGCAGCAGGAACACAGACTCCTTGCTTCCCTTTCACGAGAAGATTCCCCGGCGCACTGGGTCTTCTTTCCTTCGCTGCTGAGATCGGTTGTGGTTTTCCCAAACCGCACCGCTAAGACCCCTAGCAGTTTTCCGGCTGCCTGTCATCTTTTCCTGGATATCTTCTCTTTTAAGACGAGACTAACATCGGTTCTTTTAAGCGTTAAACCTTTTTCTTTTCCTGCTTTCCCATTTCCTCTTGCCAGGTGAAGATCACAGTCTAGGTAAATAACCAGATTACGTTTTTGTTTTGAAGAACCAATTCCCAAAATTGTTCATAGAGTATTGTATTTTTAGGGGAAATTAATTTTTATAGCCACTAAACTATACTCATTATTTTTGTACGTTTGCAACTTCTGACATTTTTCAGAGCCGTGTCGCGGAGGGAACACTTATTTTCAAGGCTGTTTTACTACTCGGGTGTGCTGTGGTTGTGTTGCGTAGTACCTCGAAGCACATTCCTTCATGTGCAATGGAGGAGAGAGAAGAATGCAATAAAAGTGAACGAGGCTTCAATAAAAGGCCATTTTTGAAGGGAGAAAAAAATCCCAAACGTTATTACAAAAGCAACACTAACCTTTCCTTCTCCTTTAGAATCCTAAAATACGTGGGAGAAAACGCGGTGTAGAATATAAAACGCGAGATGAGAACCCTTACTGTAAGCTAACTGTGCCAATATTGCTTCGGGTTGTAGTCACTGATTGATATTTTAGTTTTAAATGAGAACAGCTTTTGATTAAAAAGAAAAAAAAAAAAAAGTTGAATGTCTGAAAATCTGCAACATGTTTATTTGAGAGTTGTAAATAATGTATACAGATTGTTGTATGTGATGGGACAAAATATTTAAATTCTAGATTTTTTTTTTTTTCAATAAGAAACTGAAGGCTGTTTATAAGAGAAAATAAATAGCTATGTTTGACCATGATTGTCTTTATTTCCTTCTTGAACTTGTTTCTAAATTATCCTCTTACTTGTAGATAGATCCCCCCCCGCCCCAGTATATTGTTCTACATAAAAATTTCAATTTTTTTGTTTATTTTTATTTGTTTATTTGGTTTTTTTTAATTGTCTTGTCTGAATTTGTGACTATTTGTATTGCAGGCAGACACAATAGCAATAAAACACCCTGCTACCCTTTTCATTTCCGTGTTTGGTGACCTGACTGTACCCAGTAGGGATGGAGCCAGGTGCGGGATTCCCGCTACCACCTTCGGTATGGCGTTACCCAGGGGGGTGGGGGGGCTTCGGAGAGCTTGGCTACCAGGAGCCCATCCTGGGCACTCGCTTCCCAGGAAGCGCACACTTGGCTGTCGGCCGCGCAGGTGCCTTTTTCTTGGTTTTCTTTCTTTTTCCTAAAAGCCTCCGGGGACCCACCGACGTCTGCGGCGCTGCCGTCCGCTTCCGATGCCCTCCGCCTGCCCTCCTCCGCCGTCTCCCCTCGTGGTAAGTGGGCTGGGGCGTGCAGCAGGACAGGCTCAAAAGGGGCTTAAAAATCCATTTTTTTACTTCAATCCCAAAACCCGGTGTGGTTGAGGGACGGCGTGCAGGGAGGCTGGTCCCGGACGGCGTCCACAGCTGGAAGACAGGAGCATGCCTTGGGCAGGGCTGCCGCGCTGCCTGCGCCCCTTTCATCCATCTGAGGATTTTCCCCCGCGTTTTACTCAATCCTTCACCAGCCCAAATGATTATACGCCGCGACGGCGCTTTGGGAAACGCCTTGTCAGGGATGGGTTTGGTGGCTGGCTGGGGGTTTTCAGTAATAGCCAACTACACAAGTGGCCTCGCTCTCCTTTAAACCCCACCTGCCACTCACTTTTAAGCTATTTCGGGACGGTTGTGGACGCAA